ATCTATTATGTGATACTACCAGTAGGCTCTGGCATTGTACTCTGTAATAAAACAGTAATATTTTGGCAAGTAAGTGTATAAATATTCATACCAAGTAGGATAAATAGCCGCGTATCAATCTAGGTCAGGTTTTGCCACAAAATAAGCTTCCTGAAACTCTATAAAACACCTTTTTTTTGAGTTGAAGTCTCACTTTGTTGCCTAGGCTGGAGTGCAGTGGCACACCCATGGCCACCCCAGTGTTGACCTGCTGGGCTCCAGTGATCCTTCTGCCTCAGTCTCTAAGTAGCCGGAACTGCAGACACGTGCTACCACGCCCGGCTAATTTGTTTATTTATTTATTGTATAGATGAGGTCTTGCCAAGTTACCCAGGCTGATCTCGAACCCATGGGCTCAGGTAATCCACTCACCTCGACCTCCCAAAGTGCTGGGATTGCAGGTTGAGCCACCGAGCCCGGCCTTATAAAACACCTTTTTCTGAATTTTGGATTTCAGGACTATAGCTAAAAAATTTTGGACTTACATTCCATTATGGGATATACTAGAATGTATTTATCCATTCTGATGTTGATGGACATTTGAGTTTATTGTCAGATTTTTGCCATTAGTTTAAAAACATTGGTTAGTATCCTAAGTGGAACTTCCCCATTATTTTCTGATAAAAATGTATGCATGATTGTAAAAAATATCTGCCTGGCCTTCTCTACTGTTTATTTCTTCTTAAGAATATCTTCTGGCTGGGTGTGGTGGCTTACACCTGTAATCCCAGCACTTAGGGAAGACGATGTTGGGAGGACTGCTTTAGCCCTGGAGTTTGAGACCAGCCTGTGTAACACAGTAAACCCTCATCTTTACAAAAAATAAAAAAATTAGCCAGGCATGGTGGTGTGCACCTGCACTCTCAGCTACTCAGGAGGTTGAGGCAGAAGAATTGCCTGAGTCCATGAGTTTGGGACTGTGGTGAGCCTTGGTTATACCACTGCACTCCAGCCTGAGCAGCAGAATGAGTCCCCAACTCAAAAAAACAAAATCTTCTGCATACAAGTTGTAGAAGCATTTTGAAGTCACCATTCTCTAAAGAGAACATCTCCACAATAACAATCATATATCATTTTTGGTTCTGTTATTGATATTTCAATAATAGTGCAAGATTTATTATTTTAGTAGAAATGGCTAGGAAACTGAGATTTTGTTCCTTATTTCTCTTATGTCAAGTTAAGTTAGATTATTTTTATATGTGAGGTAAAATCACAATAAATGAAGTCAGAATGTAACTTTTTTCCATTTTGAGCCTCTGCTATAAATGTTCTTGTACTGTCTCTTGGTGTACCTGCTCAAGTTTCACTATTGTATGTCACACAGAGTAGGATTGTTCACTCATTGCTTAGTGCAGTGGTTCCTAACCTTTTTGGTATCAGGGACTGATTTCGTGGAAGACAACCTTTTCATGGACCAAAGGTGGGGGGATGGTTTGGGGATGATTCAAGCACATTACATTTATTGTGCACTTTATTATTATTATTATTATTACATTGCAATATATAATGAAATAATAATTATTATGAAATTATTATTTTGATATGAGTCTGCTGATGATTGATTTATTATGGTCTCTGTGCAGTCAAATCTCACTGCTGTTGTTAGTCTGTATTTGCAGCCAATCCCCAGTGCTAGCATCACTGCCTCAGTTCCACCTCAGATCATCAAGCATTAGATTCTCATAAGGAGTGTGCAACCTAGATCCCTTGTATGTGTAGTTCACAGCAGGGTTCATGCTCCTATGAAAATCTAATGCTGCCACTGATGTGACAGGAGGTGGAGCTCAGGCAGTAATGCAAGTGATGGGGAGTGGCTGTAAATACAGATGAAGCTTCTCTTGCTTGCCCACCGCTCACCTCCTGCTATGTGGCCTGGTTCCTAATAGGCCATGGACTGGCACTAGTCCGTGGCCAGAGGTTGGGGACTCCTGGCTTAGTGCCTTAATTCAAGCCTTCTGAGAACAAAGATGAGACTAGATGTGTGTATTAGGGTTCTCTAGACAAAACAGAACCAATAGGATTTATATAGGTATAGAGAAAGAGATTTATTATGACAGATTGTCTCACAATTATGGAGGCTTGAGGAGTTCCATGTTCTGCTGTCTACAAACTGAAGGCCCAGGAAAGCCAGTAGTGTTATCCAGTCCCACAGGCCAAAGAACCAGAGGAGATAATGGTGTAAGTATCAGTTTGAGTCTGAAGACCTGGGAACCAGCAGTGTTGATGTCCAAGTGCAGAAGATGGATGTTGCAGCTCAAGAGAAGAGAGTAAATTCACCTTCCCTCTGCCCTTTTATTCTGTTTGGATCCTCAGTGGATTAGATGATACTCACCCACCTTGGTGAGTGATATCAGTATACTAATTCAAATGATAATCTCTTCTGGAAACACTCCACAGACACATCCATAAATAATATTTTACTAGTCGTCTGGGCATCCCTAAGCCCAGTCAAGTCTACACACAAAATCAATCATTACAGTCTGCAAAAGATTTATTAGGGAGGAAGTAGAAGAAATCCTTCAGATTCAGTCTGATATCTATGAAAGAAAAGAGGTATGGAAGGAGAATTGGGGTAGGGAGAGATTTTTGGAATGCAGCAAAGTATCAAGAAAGGTTTGCTCAATGGGGAATTCTAGAATCAAAATTGTTCATAAGAAGAGTCCTATATTTCTCTGGAATGGGCCTGTCTTGATACCCCCATGATGCTCAATCATTGGCTGGGGCAGCCTGAATAATCATGGCCTTGGCATAACTATGGTGATGAAACAAGAGAATCAGTAGCTGAGGTCATTTTGCTCTCACCGCAGGAGATCTGAGCGATCTAAGTGGTGTATTTTCATGGCTGCCATAGTCTACCCTTTGCACTGCAGAAATAGAATTCTCCACACATGTGCAGTGAATAATTCCTTTAGGGTTTCCCTGGACCTCTCTTCCTTAGAGGAAACAGGGAAATTAGTAAGATGAAGTACAGCTCACTTTGCAGAGTTGGTCTTGAAGTTGCAACTGGTACTCATCCTCTTCCTTCTCCTCACTGTGCATTATAAATTTCTCTCATTTTCAGCTCTTATATAGCAGGTCTTGGGGGCTGACCTGTTAGTATAACCCAAATCTTTACTCCTGAGGGATCTGAGACCTTAATAAGCATACTCTTATCAGGCCAGGATTGCTGACAGTGTCCATTATAATTGTGATTGTGAAAGGGAGTACCAAGAATGGCTCAAGTAAATCATCTGGGTTCTATACTTCCCTACCTCCCATCATGTGAAAATAATTATTCTGAGAATTGACTTTGGTCTTGAAAGATGGTTTTCTGGAATTGATGTCTACTTATTTGCACTGTTGGTTATTTTTCATCTTCCCTAATTCCCTATTTCTTCTAAAAACCAATTTATTTACCTCAGGTTATAAAGTTTGAACACTATAACTGTCATAATAATTAACCTTATTGAGCACTTACAATAGACCACATAATGTGCTACTTACTTTATGCTAATTGTCATCTCAATAGTCATAAAATAGCTGCTATTATCACTCCCATTTTATAGATGAAACAAGTGAGATTTAGTAGAACTGTTAATTTGTTGAAGATACAAAAATACTAACAGAGTCAGAGTTTCAATCCAAAGGCATTGTGCTTCTTAGCTACCTTTCTGCACTTTGCCATAGCTGTCCACTGGCATGAATTTCCTAAAACAAATAGCAAGCTCACTGGATGATAGTTTTTATTTTATTGATGTGACTGCCCTACTTTTTAGTACTTTCTTCAAGACAGACCCCTGGGAAAAGTTTAGTCTTTAATTTCTACCACACTTTTATTTTTTCATTGAGGGTAGAGTGCTGTATTTCCCCCTCTTTTATATCCAATCCCCTTAGTAAGGCTATATTTTCCCCCTTAATATTTCTTCACTGGTCTCCTTTACATTCTTTAGCCATAGACTTTATTTCGGATGTTTGAAGTGCTGGACAGTGCTCCCCATGGAGGCTTTGAAAGTGAAATTATTTGAAAGACAATGAAGATGGTATGGAGGAGTGAGGATAGAGAGAAAGGAAGGTCAGTGGGCATTGTGTTATAATGATTGGAAGAAGTCTTCTCTGAACTCTCTGGAATTCCTAAGAAACTTGACAACACAGTGATAAGGTCCTAAAAAGAGTGTAATATTGAATTTCCAGAAACACCTAGATTGAATTGAGTGGGAAGAAATATAACAGCACAACAATTTCCACCCCATTCCAAAAAATAAAATGTTAGTTGGAAAGAGACTCTAGAGACATTTTCATATAATGTTACTATAATGGTTGACATTTATTATGAGCTTGCTATATGCAAGACAGTGTTCTAAGCACTTAATATATAATTCATATATGTCTTAGAACACATTATATCATTTAATTAAAACAAAAGTCAACTTGGCATATGAAAAACCAAGGAAAGAAAGATTAATGTACTTTTCCAAGATCAGAGGGTTGGTGATTATTGGATCTAGGCTTCTAGCCCAATGAGTATACTACAGGACCAGGGAATTAAAATTAAAAGAGGTTAAGTAATTTACCAAAACTCACTAAATGGTAGATGTGGAAGCTTTAAAAAAATTGTTTTATTGTGAAATATTGGCCTATACTGGTAATCTACATGAGATGCATGAACTCGGTATTTCACAAGAGAAGGAATAAAGATACTGAATAAGAGGGGAAAGTTGGGAATTTATTATATAATTTAAGATATTTATAATCATAGCTCATCTAAATTATACAAGAAATAAGAAAAAATTTTATTACAGCGAGCTGTTGATAATTTTTTCCTGCTAATTAGAATGTAAGTACTTTTGAGGAAAGAAGCTAAATTTTACTTAACTTTTCTCACAAGTTAAGCATAGTACCTTCAGATAATAGATGCTTAACTTTTTATTGTTGAATCAATAATTAAACTCCTAGAGGTAGCAAAATATACATATTCCATCCTGTCATTTAGTCATTAGCTTCCTCAAAGCCTGTTTCATGTCCTTGTTCCTAAGGCTATAGATGAAAGGGTTCAGCATGGGAGTAACTACTGTATAGATGATGGTGATCACACGATCCTTGGTCACTGAGTAGGTGGATGAGGGGCGAATGTACACAGATATGATGGTCCCATAGAATAGCGCCACCACTGTGAGGTGGGATCCACAGGTGGAGAAGACTTTGTACCTGCCTTCTCCAGAAGGGACCCTCATAACGGCATGGGTTATATAGATATAAGAGATAATAATGAAGATAAAGGGACTCATAATCACAAAGGAGCCCTCTGTGAAGGCCAGAAGTTCATTGACAGAGGTGTTGGAGCAGGAGAGTGTCAACAGTGGCTGGACATCACAGAAGAAGTGGTGGATAACATTGGGGCCACAAAAGGAGAGATGGGCCATGAGAATTGTGTGGGTGAGTGAGTGGAGGTGGGCCACCATCCAGGATGCTGCCACCAGCAAGAGACAGTGCCTGAGGCTCATGGTCGTGGTGTAACGTAGTGGGTTACAGATGGCCATGTAGCGATCAATAGCCATGGCAGCCAGGAGGAAGCTGTCAGTGATCCCAAAGGCCACAAAGAAATACATCTGAGTGAGGCACTGAGCAAAAAAGATGGTCTTTTTCTGAGTCAACATGTTCACTAATGTTTGTGGCACGATGGTGGTGGTAAAACAGATGTCCACCAGGGAAAGGTTGGAGAGGAAGAAATACATGGGAGTATGGAGGTGGGCATCCCCCAAGATGGCTGCGATGATGACTGAGTTGCCAACTACATTGATCAGGTACATGACCAGAAAACTGGAACAGAGCCACACTTGCTGTTTGGGGTCAGTGGTCAGTCCCAGAAGGAGGAATTCAGTTATGTGACTCTGGTTTCTTCTCAGCATTGCTGTCCTTAAGGCAGAAAATATGAAGGAAGGTTAGGTGTGTGTCTTGGTTTGATTTTTTTAATCTGATAGAGAGGATACCTCATAAGTTATTCCAGCTTGTGTGCTGCATGTATACTACATATAGTCTACAATATAACTTCATAGGTTTGGGGTAGACACATTTTGACTTCAATTTTAAATTTGCAACTGATTAATTTTATGAAGTTGAACAGGGTACTTTATTTCTTAAATTTCATCCAAGATATAAAACTTATAATACCCATATTTTAGGCTGTTCTGAGGACAAATGCTAAAGATTATAGAAAAGGTATTCAGAAAATAATACTTTTTCTCTGTTTCCAAAGGTGGGATAACTATGACACATATTTTTACTTTGGCCATGGTTGCTCCTTTATAGAGTGTCAGCCTCTACCTGATGCTTCTGTATACATTTTCTCTATTTTCCCTGTATAAGAAGAAGTGGGGTAGCCTGTGTTTTGCCTATAGAAATGATATAAAAATGTTGTAGAGATTGCATTCCTGGATCAACCCCTGCTTGGAAAAAACATACCTTTGCAATGCACTTGGGAGTTTAATTATGGAAAGAAAGGTCTAGGAGTAGCTTAGACCTGAAAATTTGATATGTCCATCAGAGAGTGGAAGTGTGGAGAGTGGATGGGGAATTGAAGCAATATCTCTTGCAGAGGGACCCTATTTACCCAACATTGGGCTTGGTGTTTCAGGAAAGTGAGTGGCATCAAAGAAGACACAGAAAGAACTAAGGGGTGGGTGACCTTATAGAAAAGTAGAATCCAAGAGGTGTAGAGCGGGAAATAGAAATGTGAGAAGATGTAGATAGCATTGCAAAACACAGCAAGGCTTGAATATCAAGGTGTCAAGGTTCAGGATCTGCTCGTTTATCCTCACAAAAGGCAAGAGACAGAGAAAATAAGCCAAAGCTCCAGTCTGGCAGAAATTGAGACATTAGTAATTTATCTATCCAAGTAGGGACTCAGCTGAAATAGAGCAAGACCAGAAAAACACTAGTGCATAATGTGAGAACAAGCTGCAAGCCAGCAACCAACTGAGTTGAAAGACCAATGAGTGACAGAAGATGTATTCTGTTTGTCTATCCCATCTAGGGACAGAAAAAAGAGCAGAAAAAAGCCTATGAATTGTGGCAAAGTAATCTCAGATAGTGGAAAGTAGAGTTAGTGATGCAGATTTTGAGTTAAAGTCCACATTCTTTACTTACTATATTTTTATAATCTTTCTGGTACTTTTGATGATAGGTCAAAAGCAACTGATTGTGTGTTTGTAATGCTCAGTGAGCTTGAATTAAACTCACTGCTCTTATTCATACTATCAGTGCAGTTTTGGGAAAATTATTTGAACATTAATATTTAGTTTCCTCATTGGGAAATCGAAATAATAATTGTTTCTAGTTCATAGGGCAGTTATGAGGATTAAAAAAATTCAATGTATAAAACCATTAGTATAGTGGCTATGAAAGATAGACCTTGAATAAATGTTAGCTGTTATTATATTTTATATAACAAAACTAGTTTATGACTTTTTATATACAAGAGAGTACCTACTGTAGATGTTGAGTAATTTTAATGAAGACAATTATGCTTGAGGTTATCCTGTGTAAATGGCAAGCTAGTAGGGCTGTATTAATTCTGGATAAACCACAGAAGTGGGAAGCACAGATCTGAGGGAAAACAAAAAATATACGAGAATCCCCTGGGGAGTTGAAATCCTTGTAACTTGTATGAGTCTCTAGCTGAGGATCTTTGTATGTGTGACTCTGAACTGGAAAGAAGGGTAGTCAGTGGCACCTGTCAGAGGATCTATTATAAAGAAGTTCTGCCTTTTCCTACCCTCATGATCATCTCAGGACAATCACTGCTGAGTCCTCATTGTCAAAGTTGGCACCATTTTCCTAGGTCAACCCTGTTAGTAGGAGCTCAACTAACCCTGTTAGTAGTAAGGCAGCTCAAAAGTCCTGCTGGAGTGAGGAATAGATTTAAAAAATATGTCAACTGATTTATCTGCCTTTGGGAATTCATTCATCCACTTCTCCCACCCCTGAAACTGGTGCATTATAACCTAGGGAGCCTCCTCTTCACAGGGATACTTCTCCCTAAATGTTTACAAGGGACCTCCTGAACAGAGTAGTTGACTTGGACATTGCCTTGAATAGCAGAAAGGAGAATCCCATAATACTCATAAGCACTGAGCTCAGTTTGAGGAGCTTCTTGGGATTCATGTGACTGCATTACTCCATAGTAAGAGCACATGCTGTACTGTCCACTCATCTATGACGCAAGTTACTACATCATAGCACTGTCTTGAAACTGGGACCACTGACAGAGTGCATTCTGCTATGGCAGCCAGCAGCCGCTGTGACTCTCCAGACTTGAGGCTACACAGTATTTCTACTACTCTTATATGGTGGCTGCAATGCCACAACCCTGGCTGCCTGAGTGTGGTTCCATGAATGGTCATGAATCCAGTCCTGCAAACTGGGAAAGCCAATGCTGGGCTGGATGAACCACTATTCACTTATGCCACTGGCTAGAGAAGTAGCCTGGAGGACCTGCCCTCAACCAACCAAACAACCACATGCTTGTGCCCCCTGCTAGAGAAGCAACCCAACAGCCCTGTTCTTAGCAAGCAGTACCTGAGCTGATTGGCAGATGGTGTGTACATATGTGCCCCTGGCCCAAGAATCATCTGGTGAGCCCATCACCAGCAAAGCCACACCACTGCTGTCAAAATATTCCACAGTGCTACTGAAGCACTTGTAGACATTGCTAACATAGATTATAGCTGATGAAATTGCATGAAGACTACACTATACACCACTGTGTCCATCTAGACCTGAAGTCAATGCACCTTAACCAACCAAAACCTTAGGACCCATCTACAAGAATAAGTCTTTACCTTCAAAAGCTACTCCATAGAATTAAAAGAGGCAATGGATTCACTGGATGCACAGATATCAACATAGAAATGTAACAAACCTAAAAAGAAACAAATCATGACGCTTCCAAAGAAACACAATAATTCTCCAGTAATAGATCCAAAAGGAAAGGAAATTTGTTAAATTTCAAAATAGATTCAAAATAATGATCTTATGGAAACAAGATACAAGAGGGTATAGACAGATAATTCAACAGAATCAGTAAAACAATTCATTATCTGAATGCAAATTCGACAAAACAATAACCATAGCTATAATAAAAGAGAACCAAACAAAAATTTTAAAGTAGAATAATTCAATGAATGAAATAAAAAATACAACTGAGAACTTTAAAAATAGGCTAAACCAAGCAGAATAAATAGTTTCTGAACTTGAAATTGGACTAAAAAGAAATGAAGAAAGCCTGTAGGATGTATAGAATGCAATTAAGCAAACACATTTTCACATTATGGGAATTACAGAAGGAGAAGAGATGGGAAAATGCATTGAAAGCTTATTTAATGAAATAATGTGTGAAAAATTCCCAGGTCTTAAGAGACATATGGATATCCAGATCCAGTAAGCTCAAAGGTCCCCAAATATATTGAAAGCCAAAATGTCTTCTTTGAGGCACATTATAGTAAAGTTGTCAAGGTTCAAAGACAAATAAAGAATTTTAAAAGCAACAAGAGAAAAGCATTAAGCCACATATAAGGGAATTCTTATTAGACTAACAACTTATTTCTCAGCAGAAATCTTACAGGTCAGGAGAGAATGGATTGATATATTCAATTTACATTTACAGAACATTTCATTCAACAGCTGCAGAATACACATTCTTTTCATCAATCCACGGGACATTCTCCAGACTGACTTTATGTTAGGCACAAAGCTTTTCTGAATAAATGTATAAATTCAAAATCATATCAAGTATCTTTTCTGACAACAATGAGAAAACTAGTAATTGGAAACAGGAAGAACTTTGAAAACTATAAAAATACATAAAAATTAAACAGCATGCTCCTGAATAACTAATGAGTCAATGAAGAAATTAAGAAAGAAATTAAAAATTTTCATGAAACAAATAAAAATAGAAATACAACATACCAAAACTTATGAGATATAACAAGAGTAGTATTAAGGGGGACATTTATAGGAATAAATGCCTATGTAAAAAAGTGAGGAGATTTCCAATAAATAACCTAAAGATGCATGTCAAAGAACCAAAAAAGCAAGAAGAAACCAAATCCAAAATTAGTGGAAGGAAATAAATATCACAGCAGAAATAAACAAAATTGAGACAAACATACAAAAGAAAAATGAAATGAAAAAGTTAGCTTTTTTAAAAAAGATAAACAAAATGGTCAAACCAGTAGTTAGACTAACTGAAAAAAAGAAAGAGGTAAGACTCAACTAAGCAAAATCCGAAATGAAAAAGGAGACATTGCAACTGATACCACAGAAATATAAAGGATTCTTAGATACTATTATGAATAACTATATGCCAACAAATTGGAAAAGTTGAGGAAATCGACAAATTCCTGAGCATGTACAGCATACTGAACCAAGAAAAATAGAAAACCTGAGTAGACTAATAATGAGTAACGAGATTGAATGAATAATAAAAAGTCTCCTAAAAAAGAAAAACCCATGGTGGGATGGCTTTACCACTGAATTTTACCAGATGTTTAAAGAAAACCAATACTAATTTTTCTCAAACTATTCTAAAACACTGAAGAGTGAAGAAGTTTTCCAAACTCATTTCATGAAACCAGCGTTACTGTGATTTCCAAAACAGACAAGGACACAGCAAAGAAAAAAACACAGGCCAAATCTCTGATGAACATAGATGCAAAAATCCTAAACAAAATATTGGAAACTGAATCCAACAGCACATCAAAATGATTATACACCATTGACAAGTAGGTTTTATCCTAGGAATGCAAAGATGGCTCAACATATGCCAATCAATAAATGTGACATGCCATATAAACCAAATGAAGAAAAAAATTTATATGATCATTTCACTAGATGCAGAAAAGTAATATGA